CAATGACTAAAGTTGTACGTGTGGCAGGTTGTACACTCATCATGTAATTATAAAGCTGTAGGCGATTGTCAATAGACAACGTCATATATCAACTAATAAAATCCGCTCAGCAATGTAAGCCACCTTAAAAGTAAAAAAAAAAAAAATAAATAAAATATAATAGAATATATATAGTCTAGTGATCTTAGTATAGTGGTTAGATTATCAAAAACTGTTATACAAGAGGTTTAAAGTATAAATCTTACTATTAATAAATTTGAATAATTACTTAAACCTTTGTATTTAACTTATAGTAAACTCTGTTCATTTCTAGAGTTGTAATCTTAAAAATTATATTGCACTAATATTATTTAGATATTGAAAGTATGATATAATATTTGGAAAGATATAATATTTTATAAATAAATCTTGATAGGATCTATGAGCAGAAAATCTACATAGTAGAAATTCTGAGTTAGTGAAGTAATATAGTATTCAATAGTCATATCAGCTAATGCTTAATTCAGAAAGGGACTGTATTCAAAGATATTGATTAGATTAGATGTAAGTAAATCTGTATTATAGTAGAAATTGCTATATATTATAGTAATATCAACTTGGCTTAGTAGTGTCACATAGAAAATTTAGGTTCTATGTTTACTTTTCAGACCTACATAACTTAGCTGCAGCTTAATTTCATAGCTAAGTAGATTCCTGCAAATTATGGGGATCTCATACTTTAAAGAGCAATAATGCTTTAATTGCTTTAAATGCTTTAAATACTTTAAATACTTTAAAGTAATTAAAATATGATCTCTCTTTAAAGCATTTTAAGAGATTAATTGCTTTAAATGCTTATAATCCTTTTATATATTAAAAGTGTAATAAGTCTTTTAAGCATTAAAAGACTTATCAGCAAACCTATTGTTTAATAAAGTATATAAATAGGCACTTTTGTCCTTCAATAAAAATATTGCATAGTCAATAAATATTTACTTTTACAAATATATTGTTCAATTGATAAAATATTCTGCCCTTAAATAAATTATTCAAAACTTTCCTTTGATACAATAAATTTACTAAATAATTCCCAACTTGATTATCACTAAATTAATAAACTAATCCTATAATAATATCATGCTGTCTAATTACTCTTTGTGATAGAGTAAAGTGTCATTAAGTTATTTGATTAAAGAGAACTTGCCCTCTGAATCTTGTGTTTGACTATTCTAAGAGAGAGGATAAATCAACTTGAATAGATTGTGAGAAGTTAAAAAATCAAATAATGTTAAAGACCTACTATGTGACCAAAGTCTGATGATAACTGAAGCTTTGAAAATCTCTTTGCCTAATTACTATGCTATCTTTCGATAGGTTATCTTGATAACATCACACAAAGATCCATAAGATTGAGTGACAGACTCGCTGTTTTTCCAGATAACAGTAGCTAACTATATTTAGAAGAACCTAACTCATGATATACCTTAGTGAAATCAGAAAACATATACTAGTAAAGAGCTACAATAGAAACTAGAATTGTATAAATATTATAAGAATCTAAGCTAGATGAATTTATGAAATAAGTATAGACTACTCTAGTAGGTATGCTTCAAGGTTAACTAGCTCTGCAAATATTCACAATATATTGAGTATAATATAATCTAAGAAGACCTAAGCTGAAATTGATAAATAGATCTGTAACAAGATAGCTAATTTAAGTAGTTAGATGATACAGTAATATTAGTCTGTAATGTTAAAAGTTAGTTAAACAGAGTATTTAAATAGATAACTTACAGACAGGTTACTAGTATAGCAGCATAGTGTAATACTAACAAATAGTCTGAAATCTGTATAGCAGACTACTTAAATTAGACAATAGTTAAAGTTATATATGTAGCTTTTTGTATACTTTTTATGTAATCACAAACTGTAGAGGATTACTCATGTATAACCATATATATTAAACTAATAAAATTCACTTGGCAATATAAACCACCTTAATAATAATAAAAAAGAAGTTAAATATATCTAATTGTTTTGAAATAGAATTATTATTTGCTATATCTAAATTATTTATATCTGAATCTAATTTTTATCTTTAATTTCTAATTTTTTTTTGGTTTAAAAAAATTATTCAAACTTATTAATTCTTGTATTGTCTTCTGTAATTTTTTATTTTCGCACTAGTGAGTACATTTTGAACTACTAGAATAATATAATAACTAACTACTAGAAACTTTATTATTCTATCAAAGATTATAAAAAAAATAATTTCATATATTAATTGTTTAGCTTCTTCTTTGTTAAGTTCTATCTTCTCATTACTAAAATTTTTCTCATTACTATTCTCTAATTTATAGATTAAAAGTTCTAGACCACTATATTCTGAATTACTAGAATTTAAAAATATTTCTTTGCAATGCTAACTCCTTTATTATAACAAAATCTGAGATTACATTGTCTATTAGGATAACCACTGATGTGAAGTAATTAATGTTTGGCATTTAATATCACTTCATCTTGCTTTTACACTTTGTAATTCTTCTCTACTCAAATACTGACCACACCTTACTTAATGACCTTTCACGATCTTTTATGCACAAGTTACTACGATGTTATTGTAGAGCACAGGCTGACTACTAAAGAACAATGGGAAGTATGAATTCAATCTTATAAACCTCTTATTTATTTAATTTTTACATGATTATATCTCCGATTTAGCATAATAATAACAGACTTTAAGATTACATAATGTTATCAAACATTATTACATCGATCCTACTAATTATGATTTACTCCATACAGCTTAACCCCAAAGATAAATACTGTACAGAGTGAGCTAAAATACCAAATGTACTTTACAATTTGAGCTATATATGTGGGTATTATAGTAGAAGGATACTATTATTAGCATAATTGTGGTCAATTAATTGCACTCACAATCAATTATTCGGTAGCCCTGTTTCAGGCAATAGATAAATATATTCTAACAGTACTAATTCTAATCTTAATAATCTGCTAAAGTTGATCTCGGGGAATAAATCATATAAATCATATTTTCGGCTTGCATATTACGATAGCTAATTTTATTTTTTTCAAATGTTATTTTATATAAAGTATATAATACACAACATAACAAAAATTACCTCGTCATGGGCTACTTACGTTATTGGCGTCATTATATGTCGGGGATGATGCTGAAATTTTAACTTATTTTAATATGAAATTTTAAAAATTTTTTAGCTTATTTTTTTACAGCTTTTTTTTTATAGTTAGGTTAGGGTTTAGGGTTAGTGTTTATAATAAAAGAGTATAGGTGGGTTTTAGTAGGGTTTATATTTTTTAAATCGAGATCTCGAATTTCAGCATCATCCGATTTCACCATCATCCCCGACATTATATATTGGCATCATCTTACAGTATAAAAAAATATACAAAGAGCTTGTTATATTATCTACGCATCACGTATGATACCACTTATCTGTTATGACTATGCATTATTCAAATCAGTGAAAATTTATATTCAAAATAATCATATGAAAAGTTTCCAATACTTTCTTTATAATCGTACAATTTGTTGCCTAATTTGATCTAATTTGACTAAATCCAAAATGGTCATAAAAAAAATTACTTTTTCTTGCATAATCTTGTATTTTTTATTGCTTTCAATTTTTCTTTCACCCTTTATAATTTTTATAATTTACATATCTTGCAGTGTACTACCTTCACTTTGGTTGTTATATCGAATATTTAAAATATTTAAAAATAAAATATTTTACAGCACACCGATACCAATTTCAAAAATGACCCAATTTTATAAATTTAAAGCCGATGACATTATGAAGAAGGAATTCCTTTTTGAAAAATTTAGAGGACAAGTGATTTTGATTATTAACGTGCCTTTTGGCGAGCTCACCCCTCAATATGAATGGTTACAAAAACTTCTCAATGAACGTATGAATCAGGGTTTTACCATCGTTGTGTTTCCTTGCGATCAATTTGGTCAATATGAGCCCAGGAACGAAGAAGGTATATGATGTCAGAAAATTTTAATTGAAAAGTTTCATTCTTTAAACGTATATATATTTTTATTTTTATTTAAAAATATATATATATATTAATAAATATAGAGATCGAAAATTTTTGCAAAGTTATTCATGAAGCTGGTTTCAAATTATTCTCAAAGATTGAAGTAAACGGACCCTACGAACATCCCGTTTACAACTTCCTCAAAAATAGCATCAAAACAGATGATATTAAGTTGAATTTTACGAAATTCTTAGTCGATCGTCAAGGAAATGTTGTAGAAAAATATGAACCACGTGATGAGGTTGATTTTTAATGTGATAAGAAAAAGCGAAAAAAAACCTTTGCTAAATGTTTCTATATTCTCATAATCCTTTTTAGCCCGAAAAAATCTATGATGGTGTTGATAAGGCATTGACAAAACCACTTTGGGGTAATATGCTCGAGAATCGTCTCTGTGAGCTGTATACGAAAGACAATGTCGTGGATATATTCTGGGGTCGAAGTGTCGAAGAACACACTGCTGGTGAAAATGTATGGCATGTCTACGTGATTACACGTGGTCCTTTTCATCCACGCACCAAATTGGAGGACATCGACGGTATATTGATTCACTTCATAAGAGAAGATGATGCATTTATTTACGCCGAAACTCCACCACAAACACCCTATGATCCACTGCCAAGTCGGAAAAAGGTTCCAGAAAATATACAAAAAGCTTTTGATGATGCTTTAAATAATGAACTGGGACCATCGTTCCGTGAAGCTCATTACAATCTGGTCGGCATGAGTACTGGTTATAAGCGAATACGTAGAAAGCTCACTGAAATACCTGCCATTATACTTTATGTTCGTCAGAAGGGAATCTTACGTCGTGGGTGCGAAGGTTTATTCCCAAATGAAATTTGTGGCTTTCCTGTAGACGTTGTCGAGGCACGAGTTGCAACCCCTTATAGATATCATGGAGAAGAACTTTGCCGAGATTATCAAGATGAGATTTCGTTGGGAGCGAGTATAGGTATAGGAATAACTGGATCTCGAAAAACAATTGGAACTCTTGGTGTTGTTGTATGTGAAAGAGACCTACCAAACAGAATTGGTATCGTCTCATGTGAACACGTACTTAAATTTAAAGATTCTGAAATCGGAAGCGACCCAATAATTCAGCCATCACGTGAAGATTTCCTAGACGTATTTGAGAGAAGGTTACGGAATATAGTTGCGAGCTCAAAAGAACCAGGTGTTAAAAAAGAACTTTACAAAAAACGAATTGAAGAAAGGCAGGACGAAGTCGATCGTGCGAAAAATAAGAAGCCGTTAGTACCTTTTGCCACTTATGAACGTGGAATGCGGAAAAACTATCTTTCAGGCATTGATGGAAAATATTATGGTATTGATGCTGCATTTTGTATTTTCACAAACAAAGATCGCTATTTATTTCCAAATAAATTTTCTATAACACGAGATATCTTTGAAGAGGCAGGACTTCCTCGTGAGACTCGTTTACGTGGTTTCTATACATATAATATGCTAAGGAATTTTGATAAAGAAAAGGTCTTTAAAGTTGGGCGAACTACAGGTCTCACTGTTGGGCATTGGATTCCTACTAACATCTCTGTTGCTATTGAATTAACAAATAAAAGTATTGAGCTCGCAGAAAGTAAAACTGAAATTCCTCCTTATGTTGATCGAGGAATTTTCGTTGGTTACATGAAGGCACAATTAGTTGAAGAAGTGAATAGAAGACGTCAGGAATGTTATCCCACAATTTGGTTTGATCGTCAATTGGCGATCCAATTCGGATATGGCGGGTTCGAAGTCGGAGACTCGGGTGCAAGTGTTGTCGACGAAGACGGAATGGCCCTTGGTATCCTTCATGCATATATTGCAACCGGAAATTATAATAATGCCATTGCTTCTCCATATTTCGCAGTATGTGAAGCATTGGATGTGGATTTTCTTTTAACCGATTACCCTATTAAACCCTCTCCTGCTTAATAATAAATCAATTTTTTTTATTTTTTTAACCGTCTCTAGCTAGATGTTATATGGCATGATTGATTATAATTTGTTTTTATACATGTACGTACTTATATATTATTTACATATATATTTTCTTTATTTCTGTTTTGTTTTTTTTATTGTGGCATCTTTATTTCCTTGCCTATTTGGGTTTATTATGTGGGTATATTTGTTATCCCATATGTACAGTACCACACCATAGCTAATATATGACCATGATCTTGCCGCTATTTGTATTTGGGAATCTTTGACGTTATCAGTAGCGACCACCTCTTCCAATGTTCTTAGAACTTCTGAGATATCTACATTGGGAAGGAGTATGTAGTTTCCATATCAGTTGGCTTACCCTATACTCTATGCTAAAGTGCTCTAGCATTTGTAAGACATTTGGGTAGTTCGGACTAGTGTTTTAAATATCATAGTAAAATTCCGGATTATCTGGTACTTTGAGTAAAATTTGAGGTAAAAAACTAATTTTTTTTCAGTCTTGAGCCGGTAAATTAAAAATCCTATTTAAAAACACTAGTTCGGACAAAATCCTAACTCTGTCTATAACTTACTGGCAACGATTTGTGAATAAATTTTCAGAATATGTTCTTTTTCTTATTGTCTGCTCATTTTGATTGTTGCTACTGCGTTTGCACTCATATATCATTTTCTGGTGTGAACCGGCGAAGTCACGTACCACGCGATTTGGCTAACCAAAAAAGGGGACCCAGCTAGAAAAGTCAGAGAGGACCTAAATGTAGGGAAGTCCTTTCTAATCAAAGGGGTGATTTGAGTCAATTAGTGTTGTAGGAGAAACCGAAGCTTTCGCCCAGGCGAAACCTCGAAATGGATTTCGCCAAAGACCCCAAATCCGATTTTTCCGAAACTAGCAAAACCTGCTGAAATGTCCGAAATTAGCGAAAGTTCTGAAACCTGGCGAAATGTTTAAAACCGAAACTTAGGCGAAATTTCGAAACCTAAATGCATTTAGAAATATAATTTTCATGTGTAACGGTCACACGATTTGTCACATTATGTTTTTTTTTACTAATACGTATAATGTCTAAACAAGTTTACTTAAAGACAAATATATATTATTATATATTAGTAAAAAAAAAAAAGGTTTCCTTATAGTTTAGGAGATCCAGAAGCTAACTCTATTCGAACTATTCACGGCTTTATCCCCAAGGCCATGTCACAAATATTAACCTCAATTAGTAGCTCTACTCCTACTCCAAAGACATACAAACTCTTTCACAAGATTCAAAAAGAATTCTATAACAAGATCTGGACCTATAGATGTAAAGAATAGCATGAGCCTAATAGCTTACTCTCATATACAGAAAAAAACTCAAGAAGAACAAAGCCAAAATAAAAATACAGAAGATCACATATTTATATTACTCAGACAACAGTGTATTAAGAACAAGTTGGCATCTTAAACAGAAATGTTTATTACTTCTAATATATTATCAGATGTACTAGAATATATAATGAACTAGGTAGGGTTTTGGTTTCCTAGATTTAAATATATATCTTTGTAATGTACAATGTAATGAATATTATTATCTGAATAAAAACTGAAGCAAGAATTTTTTTTTTTAAAAAAAAAAAGGTTTATATAGAAAAATTATAAATTTTATAGTAAACTTATTTTTTACTGAGATAACCTATTTTTATCTTTTAGATAAAGTTGTTTAAAATAAAATTTTATATATAATTATAGTTTTATTATTAAAAAATATTTTTTTTATAGTAATATTATATAAACAAAATAAATAAATTTTATAAAATTTTATATATGATTTAATCTAAATTTTTATTTTAAAATATATAAAATTTCTTAAATTTTGAAGTTTTGTTGCTTTTTTATTTATATATTAATAAAAATTAAATTTTATTATTAAATATATTAAAAAAAAAGAATAAAAATCTTTATACAAAATTTTTAAAATTTTATAAAAATAGTTTATTTAATTTTACTAAAAAATTTTTATTAATTTTAAGAGTAGAGAGTATATAGATCAATTTTACTATGATCTGTATAGTAAATTCGATTTTGGTTAAAAATAAATATATACATATAATAAAAATTTTTAAAAATTTAATAAAATTTATAAAATTTTTACAATATATATATTAAAATAAAATATATCTTTTTATAAAATTTTAAAATATATTAATTATAAAAAATTTGTATTTTTATATATTATGAAGTTAGATCTGATGATCTAATATAGTAAATAGGTTGTTAGACTACTATATAATAGGTTTAGAATTTGTAAAAGATTTGGAAAAAATTGAGCTTTGTTTTTTAAGCTTTTCAAAGTAATTTGCTAGCATTTCTTTTTAAGTAAATTCTATATAAAAATTATTAAGTTCATTAATATAGCTAAGTTCTAGTTTATTTGTTGTTATTGTGATTAGTATTTTTTTATATTGTTAGAAGAATTTTTATGATTAGATAATATAGAGAAGTTTATTAGCTCGAAGTCTATAGTTTTAGCTATTTTTTTAGAGTAGAGTGAATAAATTTGTTTAGTATATTATTACTTAATTGATGAATTTTAGATAAATTATTTGACATTTATGTAAGAAAAAACTTTAGTGTTTATTGCAAAATTAATAATATACTTTTACTTTTATTAAAACTTATTAGTTGTTTAGAATTCACAAGGTATATAATTATGAAAAACTACTTTTGCTTATATAGAAAAAAATTACAATATTTTGATAATAAATACAAAAAAACAAAGTAGAATAGATAAATTAATAATAAAAATTCTAAGTTAATAAGCTAGAGTTATAAATCTAATTGAAGTTCAGAATTTAAATTCTAGCTAGAATTTAAATTCTAGCTAGAGTTAGGAGTTTTAATTCTAACCAGAATTTGAATTCTAGTTAGAATTAGAAATTTTAATTCTGTTAGAATTTGAATTCTAGCTTGAGTTAGAAGTTTTAATTCTAGTCAGAATTTTATGTTTTTTTGTAGCTAAATTAGAGTTAGAGTTAGAGTTATATATGTGATATAGAAGTTTAATTTTTGTGTTATATAAGTTATGTGATTATGTTATATGATTTAAAAGTTTAATTCTTTATATTACATAGATTATATGATTTAAGTCATATGACTTAAGAGTTCAATTCTTTGTATTATACAAGTTATATAATTTAAGTCATATAATTTAAGAATTCAATTCTTTATATTATATAAGTCACATAATTTTTTAATTATGTGATTTTTTTTTAAAAAAAGTTATTAGTTCTAGTTAGAGTCAATGTATCTAATTGATGATCAAGCAAGGATTCTAACTAAATATAGTATATTTATAATATATAGTATTGGGTATTAGACTTCTAAATCATCTAAATCCTCTATTATTTTATTAAAGCTTTCTTAAAAAATAAGTGGATAGTTTTTTTATTTAAAAAGAAATGTATCATATAGTATTCATAGTATTATCAGAGGTAAAGATTTTTCTTTATTTTCTTTTGAATTTATATATTCTAATTATTGTTTTCTTTTCTCTCAAATTATAGTATCTGCATTTTTTAGTACTAAATCTGAGTATCCTTTTATTTCATTTAAGAAGCTAAATAAAAAGATTTTTTTGTTAATAAAGTTTTCTTTTTTTGAATAGAGTAGTACTAGTCTAGTCTAGTAAGTTTATTAGTTACTATTTGTTTTTTTATTTGAATTCAATAATTAGATTTATAATATATAAAAAAAGCAGATCTCAAAAATTTAGAATATCAATTTATAGAGATATTATTGTTTTTGTCTATAGAAATATTAATATCTAAGAAGTTTATTTTTTTCCTTTTTTAAAGATTTGCTACGAAATTTTATGGTATATTAGATAAATAGCTTTAATAAGTTAATTAATATATAGTTGACTAAAGATTATAATATTATCAATATATTATCTATAAAATATTACTTCAAAAAGTTTATTTTTTATAGCAAAATATTTATGAACATAGCAAATAAGTTGTACAATTTGTATAGCAGCATTTGTGCCTATTGCTATTCTATTTTTTTATCTATAGATATTGTCTAAAGCTTTAAAATAATTATAACTTATAACAATGTATATTAAAAATCTATATTTTGTAAAATTTAAACTATAAAATTATAGAATTAGAGATATTTTGTTTAGGTATTTTATTGCATTTAGAATTTCTTTATACTAAAATTTAATATAAAGTGATTCAAAGTTTCCAGTAGCAATATGTTGATAATTATTTTCTAGTTTTTTTATTTGATAAATTAGTTGTAATTATTCTTTAATGAAGTCTAGTTTTTAGAGTCTAGTTTTTTTAAATTATTTATCCAAACATTAAGTACTTAAGCTAAAAGTATAGAAATTTGTTTGATAGAAGATAAATGTATTTCTACAATTAGCCTCTATTTTAGTAGATTTTTATAGACTTTAGATAGTATATAGAAGTATAGCAATTGTATTTCTTCTAGAACAAAGTAATTGTTATACTTGTTTTTCATTGTTATTATTAAATATGAAATTTGTTTTTGTATAAATTCTATATATTTCTCTACTGTTTTATAAACTATTATATAATTATAAAGTAAAAGAATATTTTTTATAGCTTTAATTATTCATTATATAGAATAATTACTAGTTCTAAAAAACTTTTTCTGCTTATCAATTGCACAAAACTATTCCCAAATTCATTCACAGAAAATTATGATTATCTCAATAATTTATTAAGACAATGCCTTTAGGCTCTTAAGTAAACTTAACTAGCTCACAAAATTATATATAATTCTAGAATATTAAGATTATATCTTAAAAACTCGCTATGAAATTATTCTAGTAGCTCTAAGGCTAAAAATTAAACTTTTTGAAGTCTTCCAAAATCTTTCTTCTAAACATCTAAAACACTCTTAAGAAAAGTTTCTAAGCTCTTTGTCAGCTTCAAAACAAGCTATAAAATATTAAATTTAAGTGAAAATTGACCTTTTTAGC